GATGTAGGTTGAGAGGGAGGGGAAAAAGGAGAGAAAGAAAGACAGAACGAGAATGAGACGAACGATTCGTGTTTGCATAAAAATTTTATGCGCCCGCGGATCTGTGAGAGAGGATCCGCGCGGAGCTTAAGGTACAAGGGCAAAGGAGACTCATTAAAATTCAATCCGCACTCCCGAATGACTCGGGTGTCGGAGCTCCTTCGTCTTCGCCTCTTCTTTCGAACCTCGATTTCATCTACCAAGTGTATATACTCGGTAACCAAGACGCATCCACGCGACCGGTAACCAGCTATTTGTCCGCAAATGTCCGCGTGCGGTTGAATCTGGCTCGCATGGAACTCGAAACGACGGGAATCAATGGGGAATTCGTGACAGAGAGATGACGCCGTTGGTTGGCTGCGTGTATATCCGTGCCGCGTGATATCGTGAGATCACGGACCGAGTTTCGGGTGTGTGTATCGGAAATTTCACGGATGCGTGACAATACGTGTGACCTGCGGCCGGCCATTGAAGACCTGAGGGCCAACTGACGGCCCTGAGAAAAATCAACCGGAGATGAAATTAGCCGATTGACCCGTTCGTTACGCGCTCGATTCAATCTGATTTCTCAACTCCAATTTCGCCTTGGACAACTGGCAACTTGGTTGAGTTCAGCGAACGCCACGGTGCATTCATTTGCCACGGTTATGTCGAGAAAATTGCACATAATTGTACATAATATTACATAAAATTGCACATTCGTTTGATAACATTGCAAATGACTAGCAATGTTTGAAAATCGGCAGGATTGATATGTTCGAAGACCGACAATTGTAGGAAAATTTCGCCAAGCCGATAATTCAACTTATTTAGTAGCCTAAGCCCTACGTAGCCATTTTTTTGCACTTTCTTAGAAGCCGTGATTGTAATAATTCGAGTTCATCGTACTTGGAACTTGAAATTATACCGTTTTTTATTAATTAACCACGCACATCTTGTGTATAGGTATATTTATTAAAGTGTTACACGTTATTTACTTCCAGATTATAAATCATTCTTTAAGACTCTGAAGCTGTTTTATTTTGATATGTTTATATTTCATTTGAAACATTTTATCTTAATACACATGTTTTAAAATAAACTATTTGTGTCTTCTTAATAAAATTTAATGTTTCAAAATTGTTTTAATACCTTCAAATAACGAAGTAGATCTCCTTAGGCACCTGACAAAATTAAACCAGTTGTTCCTAACATTTGTATATATGTACGTATATCATAAGGCGTATACGATCGAACGAAATTCAAGCGTAGAAGATACGCGCGAGCGACTTATGCGACCGACAACGAGCGTCGTTACGACTCAAAAACCAAGTGTCCCAGTCACGTTCACGCGTCGAATTTTTCTTCGAAGAAGCGGACAAACGGCGAGTCAGGCAAAAATACGATCGATAGACTTTCTCTCGATCTGACAGATAAATTTCAATCTCGTTTCGCTGTTACGGGGAGGGAACGCCTGGCCGCGTCGCATCTCCCGTAATAAACCCCCCGAACGCGTGTCTTTGAACTTGCGATTCAATAGGCGACTTTTGAATAATTCATCGATCCACCCGGTATATTCCCCGGTAGATGTTGCGAGAAATATCGGCGGGGTATAAATTTCTCCGCCGGTCCACCGTAATCTTTGAACCGCCGCTTCGATACGAGCGCGCCCCCCGCGAATTTCCATGACGCCGTGACGTCACGCGCTCGGTGAATTGTAATTCTCGATATTTATGATAACGATTCGTCGTTGTTTCGGAATTGGGACCGATTGCCGTGTACGCTCGCGCCTGTACATACATATATCATTGACCGTTCGTTGCTCGTCTATGCATTGGGAAATTTACGAGTGGCGTCTCGGTGAAACGAGTCGCGCCATTTCATGGTGAGCCATGGTTCGCTCCACCAGCAGCGCGGCGGAAAGAATCACGCGGCGGCAGAGAATGATAAATTATGCGGAAATGGGAATTGGCTGCCCCGAGACGGGGAAATTGGTCGGCGATGAGTGTCTTGGAGCACTCACGGCCGAATGCTCGATTCCAAATCCGGGCGGATCCGCGCGATTTTAAATTTTCACCCCTTAATTTCACGTATTTGCGCTCGTGTTCGATCTCGTGCCTCCGTCCAGGAACCTTCGATTCCGAATAACATCACGTTCGGGTTGTTCCATTTGTTCGATTTGTTTGGATCGACGGAGGAAGCCTTGTAACCGGCGTTTCTGTCTGAAAAAAAGACAATTGAATATTGATGAATTCCTTTTTACTTGGACCAGGGAAGAGGGATAAGAATATTGACGTTCAAGCGAGTTGACAGTGTCTTGATTTTTTTCTTTTGTGGTTGTTTAATGGGAGTGTATTTTGAATAATCTCTCAATTTTAATAGAAATTATATTTTATTGTTCGAAATAGAACGAAATGTAAATGTTAATTTAAATATGTATTTATAAAATATTACAAGTATTATTATATTATATTAGTATTATTATAAATTAAATTATATTATATTATATTAGTATTATTATAAATAATACCTATAATACTATTATATATATATATATATATATATATATATATATATATATATATAAAACACTTTACAAATACATATATAAATATTTACATTTTATACCATTATATATATATTGTAGATAGTTAATTAAAAAGATATTGCATCGTACAAAATTGTTTATTTTTTTTATAGTTATATTTTGAATGATCAGTTTTAATACTGTTAAAAATAATATAAAATGTAAAATACTAATTTACACGCTCGTGGAAGAACACGGAGTGTTCGCAAGTTATTCGAAATTGTCGAAAATATTTGTCGCTCCGCGCTAGATAAAAAGAATTCTCTGTGAGCTGAAAATTTCCTTCAACAGGGTAATAAAATTTACAATTTGTCAATATCCCGTTCCCACTGCGCACCTCCTCGCTACTTTGCGCGACAAACGTAAATATAGATGGAGATTTTAATTCACGATGAGAGCCATTGAATTTAAATGCCACGGAAATAAAGCACCGCTCGAAAGCTCTTTTATTCCGCAAGAGAGTTCTGAATTTCATTCTACGTTTTCCAATTTATTATTTCGCGCGAGGTTTTCACCGGGCAAGAGACCAGGTTTTCCTTTGCCCGACGTCTAAATGGAACACACAGGTGTAATTTACTGCAACTCGCTCTCTGACAGACCTCTCTGCACGTGCAGCAGCATTTTCGTTTGCCGATGCGCTCGTTCGTACTGATTAAGAGCGATTATTCGCACTTGATTCACACAAGTCAATGTTTGTCACGTTGTCTCACTCACGATCTATTTTTCAGAATGTGGCAATAATTCTTCATTTTTTAATTAAACGAAACGAGAGCGCGACAAGTTTCGATCGTTTGAAACAAAATCGCACGTAAGTCGAATACGCGCAACCTTTGCTCAAGAAATCGTCAAACTAAAGCGTCACGTTGTTTTATTCGCAATGTATGCATTGCCAAAATGGCAAACAGCGTCGGTCCGCAATGGGATACTCGAACAAGTCGATGGCGCGAGTATCCGCGTGGGGTTTCATCGTTGTTCGTGTAAAAAAAAAAAAAAAAAAAAATACAAAATCCAATCCGCGACTTTGACTTATAACATTTTGTTTTCCTTTTTTAATCTTTTTTCGTTACGTTCGTTTCGCGTTACAATCACCCTGTTATAGATCGCGTTGCGCATCGGAGGATTTCCGGTCGGTGTGGCGAGCACAGTCGCGGATTGAAAATCATTTTTTGGAAACGGGAGATCCACGTGGGAAATAGTAGATTGTATAAACAAAAAGAAAAAAAAAAAAAAGGAAGAGAAAAAAAAACTAAAAAAAAATCACCGTCGAGATATCAGGTAAATACCAGCAGAAAGTTCGGCTCGTAGGTCGAATTAATGAAAAAAAACTTTCTTTCTTTTCTTCGTTTTTTCTATCACGCCCGCGCGTGACTTCAACGCCGCGACCGTGAGATTCCACCTGGGCTATTCACCGGGCTTTATTTTCCTCGGTCGTCGCGTTACGATGCCATAGTTTTTCGCGTTCGTCACGCTGTAGAAAAAAACTATACACGCATCCCGATGCACATTGTTGCGGCCGCGTGTCTGCCTGCATGGAGCGCGCGCGAAAACAGCCTGCAGCTGCAGCCTAGAAAAGAGCGCACCGCGCGTCGTTGCTTTTATTTTCCACCGGTTTTATCCCGCGTTGTTTTACTTATTCTTCGACATTGCCGCGTCTAGCTGGCTGCTGCTCTATGACACCGATTTCTTTCCATCATTCTCTACTTCTTCTTTCTTTAAATCCGTCGTACAGAACGATGAAAGGGATTTTTCTCAGTGGTACGGCTTTTGGAAAACGTTATATATCTCCTATTGAATTGTTCACTGTCTCTTATGTATTGAAATGTACTGAAACTCTGCTGTGTAGTGTAAAAGAATGTGACGTTGGTCACAGAATTAAGGAATTAAACCTTTACACTCCTGTGACTGTCGAGTGTGACTCAACTCTTGTGTTAAATTGCCAAAAAAGAAAAAAAAAAAAAAACTGCAAAATAGTTTGGAGTGCGAAGGATTAATAACACTTTCTTCCGCACGTCGCGATGCAAAAATTAGAAAAGAAGTCCAAGTGACAAAGCATAACGATCACACTCTTGCTCGGCGGTTTCCTCGATACTCGATCGAGGAAACGCTGGGAAGTGAACTTGAATCGGGGGAGGGGCGATGTAGCGAGTCACACCATTAGCTCGTTATCCCCTGTCCTCTTTTCCGTTCGATGACAACAGACGGAACAGAGCGGAAAGGGTATCGACTTCTAATCCGTGGCAGGCCGTTACGGTCGTTACAGTGTCACACCGTGAGAGAAAACGCGAGAATCTCTCTCTCTCTCTGTCCGCGCCAGAGGATATATTCCAGAGCCGGACGCGCGCGAAGGTTTGCGCGGAGCATTTTAATGAACTCGGCATCCCATCTTGTTTTCCAGCGGTGTGAGTCTCAACGGCAGAAGAGAGGCGCAGGCTCCCGTGGGGGGCGCAGGAGGAGGCGGTGGCGTCGGTGGCGCCGGGGGGAGAGACGGTGGGGCGGACCGGAACCGGAAATGGCTGCGAGGTGGCTCCTGCTGGCGCTCCTCGCCGCCCACGCCGCGGCTCTTCCTGATATCATTAGGATAGGTGAGTATCTTTCCAGTCTCCCATCTCCAGTTAAAAAAGGAATCTCTCTCTCTCTGCTTTTCCTCTTTCTCTTTTCTCATTCTTTCTTTGAACCCTTCTTCTTCCCCCCCCCCTCCCCCCTCACTCGTTCGTTTCATTTTCGCTGACAATTTTACCCTTCGGCCACGCGGCAAACGACACCGCAGCAACGAAATTGCAATCGATACGTCGTCGTTTTGCCGAAGCAAGCCCGGGAAAAGACGATACTTCGCAGCGCGCCCGTTTCATTCGTCAAACGGTCCTCGATTAACGCGGATAATCGCCCAATATGATATCAACGGAATTAAATTATTAAGGTTCGTAAGTAACTTATGTTTCTGAGAACAAATTGCAACGATGTATTTGTCAAATTTGTCAGGTCTGAACTCATTAGCAGTAAAATTTGTACAGGATAGAAAGGAAAGTTTATTCGTGGCTTCACAGATGAATTCTACATCTTCAATTCGATTCGGAAATACATATAAAGAACCTGTCGCAAATTTGATTGAATTTTAAGGTCAAATTTTTTTTTTTTTTTGGGTGCATTGTATTCTACTTATCACGAAGATGAAAGTTTTCCGAGAAAACTAATAGTTCTTTTTAACATTGCATGCTAACAGTGACTTTATAATTCTATTTTACATAATTTTCCTGTTAGGTTTCACTAACATTTGATTTATCACAGTTACATAGCATCAGCATAGGTCCAAACAATCAGATAAAACTGGTTCTTAACATCACTTAACTGCGCCATCTGATTATTAAATCATTCTCGATCACTGCAAAATACTTTGAAATGAAGGGAAAAAATTCAATCAAGTTCGAAAGTCTGTCAAAAACTTTTTTACTTCAAAATCAGCTGGATTCTAGATGCCAGAGGCATCAACAATAAATGACAACGAGTAATTGCAAATAATGATGAATATGTAGTAGATTAGAATAGAACTATTATCTGCTTCATTGCGAAATGAATTTGTTTAATTTTTCGAAACGGAAATTATTTATGATTCAGCCGTTGAAATTACCGAGAGTGACTTGTAAATTTTCACTGCACTCGACAAACTTGCGAAATTGAAGTTGCTCCGAATTTCCGTCATTCCGTAATACTTGCCCGACTAACAACGAGCATCGAGATAGGAAAGATCAGTCGCAATCGGAGAAACTTGAAAATGCCGTCGTAGCTGAAAGTGTCGCGTGGCGCGTGTCCCAGACGCGGCGCAAGTAGCAACGCTCGTTGTACAGTCAGACGGGCTGAATCACAAGGTGAAACAACCATTCTTGGGAACGCGAGCAATCGCTGTAGTCCGCGCCAAGTCCGCGTTGAAGCGATAGGTCACGACCGCCTTACAATGAGAAAAGTCTGCCAGAAGCTGAACGCTTGCACAGCCTGACAATGAGAACTGTCGCGCAAACGTTACGCGCGACTTCTCTCTCGTCGATGAATACCCATTGTGCAGCCTCTCTCCCCGCCAAACTCTCCTCCCTGTACTTTTACTTTTCATTTGTTCGTTCGTCACATTGTGTCGTGTTTGTTTTCCCGTGCAGTGCACAACAAATGTCCACTGTCCGACTTTAAAAGTCTGGCGTGGACGCGGCGCGCGATATAACACATATACGTTCGATCGAATGGAACGACGAAAGATTTTCGAATTTTGTTCGCGTTCGCGTTCGGTGACAAAGATTCTTCATAAACTGTCGACAACAAGTCGGCAGTTGGCGAGTTTTTTTAATCAATCGCGGCGGCAATATTAACCCTTTGACTGTTGGCACCTAAAGGTACTTGGTAAATGTATCGTTTGCGATACGATAGAAACTTAAAGACGCTTAAAAATGATTGCACCTTGTGATACTGTAGGCGCTTAAACTTCTAATTACTAACGTCCGATATATAATATCTGAGAAAGCCGAATGTCCGACATATCGACGGTCTCTCTCTCTCTTCTTGTTTTGAGTAGCTTGAGTCTTTATTTGATTTGATTATACTTTGAAAATAATAGGAACTACAATAATTTATATGAAAACATGTGAAATGAAACTTCGCCTGGCGATTTCAATCCGTCCGCTAGCGAAGGGGGATTTAAATACCCCGCCCTTAGAAGATTAATCTACTTTGATCCGCTGACACGGAAAATTTTATCGACCATAATTCCAGCAAATCTCATTTGAACCAGACGTAAATGTATGCCAATTCAACAGTTACATATTCCGTTAGTTAATGTGGTTTATTCTACGGTTATTTCTTTTTTATATCCTTAAAATGAAAAATTGGGATAACAAAATGGTCAGAAATAGTACGTGCAAACATGACACAACGAATGATTCATGTTGTGTATATTCATATTTTGTAGATACGATGTAATTGTTTGATAACTTGGTACAATAATAACGAGAGTATTGCAAAGAGAAAGAATAACTACGTATTTTATTTTTAGAACGTATATTAAATAAGAAATATATATTCTTACACAATGTAAGACACAACGAATTAATTCAACTACTCTCTATGCTCAAACTTTCTTACTTAATTACTTGACAACGACTGTGTGTTTATCTCTTTAGTGACTGTTACATACGTGCCTAACGATTATTTATAAATCTCCTTGACGATTGTTACAAAAAGCTCAATGCTAATGCTAAATTTTTAGTACGTCTGCTAACAATTCGATGCGGAACACGAATAAATAAATAACATTGGTTTAATGCAGTGGAATTCAGTGTTTCGATTATTTTAATATTCTTTCTCAGAAACGCACGCCCATCGAAAAATTTCGTCTCGGTGAATTCCTCCTGTATGATAGGTATCGTCTCAAAGTCTGCCGTAGACAAAGGGTTAAGATCGTTCGATAGCCTGATCACGCGCAGGCTTACTCGACACAACTCGTCGGAAATTTCTCGCGCGAGCAAACGTTGTACGGCCGTATCGAAGCGATATCAATTTTGCCGTGTTTTGTTTCGCGGAGTTGGAGTGTTGTTGAGCGCAAAGGCGGCCCGACGCGAAATAATTCATTAACAATCAATGAATATTCAAGCCCTATTAATCCGGCGAAACGGCGGACGCGTTGTGAGGGAGAAAAGGGGTAGAAAAGTGGAACGACGGGCGACTGTGCTCGGAGAGAACACGGGCGCGCGCTCTCGAGTACCGATCCACCGGCTGGAACAAAGTTACCGATAGTGCTTGCACGTTTTTTTACGCGAATCGACGATATCGACGTTCTTTTTTTTTACGCCCGTTACGGATCCGTAACTCCATCAGCGCGTGATTAAACGCCCCTCATCCGAACAATTCTCTCGTCGATGAGCCTCGACGGATCGTTGTACGATGCGAACCAACGGTGTACTGGGTTCCCCTAAAAGAGCAAGATTTCACTAGTGAGCCTAAGCTTCGCTTCTGGACCGCCAAATCGACCGCGATTTACGACCGCCAGGATTAACGCTTCCTTTCGTTCAGCTTTATTTTTATTCCGTTTGCGATTCGTTTCTTCTCCAACCAAGCTTCTTGCGTGGGAGGGAGGGAAGAAAAGGAACGACCGAGCGTGGCAAACAAGTGGCAGGTTCTTCGAATTACTGTTGCAGAGATTAAGTATAATAGGCGATGTTTATTTAATGCTGGTGATTAAACAAAGTAATAATTGATATACTCGGTCACCGGTCAAATAAACATTTTTCACAACGCTGTCTCCGGCTCAGTCAATTCTGTTCCGCCCCTCGATCGACTTTCTTCTTTTTTTTTTTTTTTTTTCAAAAAGGAAAACGCTTCATGCTAATCACATTCATACTTTTTATTATTTACCACATATATACTCTTAATATTTTACACATGTATACACATATATACCTTTATAATTTTATTGTTTACCACATTTATACTTTCTAGGTTTTATAAAACTAAAGTATAAATGTATAATTTTAAAGTGTAGATGTATAATTTTATTGTTTACCACATTTGTACTTTTTAGTTTTCATAAAACTAAAGTTAAAATAATAACCTAACAAAATAATGAAAATAACAAACTAATAAGAGAATAAAAAAAACTAAAGCCTTTAAACCTACCATATACTACACTGTGATATTCCAGTGTCTTTGGTCTGAATTATTTCTTCGTTGTTCCCTTTGTTTTCCACGAGAATGCGATCTTTGAATCATCGAAGTAACTCGGCCATCCTTCAACGTAATGAGAGAGAGAGAGAGAGAGAGAGAGAGAGAGAGACGTAAATCTGTCGAGTGAATTCTATGAATTGTGGATCTATGGTCAGGTTGGCGCAGCTGGCCAGGTTGCCTTACGATGCGCGTGAGATTAAAATCAATTTATGGCGCTAATTCGTCCCGGCGTGGCGTTGAGTTCGGATCAGGATCGAACTGAGGCTCGACGTTTACGCGGAGATCGAGGTTTTCTCGTACGCCGGTGAATTATTCATTCTTCTCTTCTCCTTGCTGACACAAGTACATAGCGCGTTATTAAGTAACCAGCGTCGGAAAGAGCCGCCTCTCCTCGGTGGAGAAGGTTGGCCTTTCCGGCGTACGAATCGTCATTTCACCGCGAGCTACCTCGGTCTTCTTAAATTCCTAACTCTCGTCGCGATCGTATAACACCAGCCGCGCCAAGTTTTTCCTTTAACGTTCGCTTCCTTTTATTCCGTTTTTTTTTCCTCTCCCCTTTCCTGCCCTTTCGGTGTCCTACTTTTTCGCTTTATCTGCTCCCTTACGTTCGTTGCATATTAACGTCGCGAGAACTATGCCGGTTGTTGGTGGCAACTCGAATTCGCCGCATTTCCCCTGAAAGGCAGCGGACCTCCTGACCTCGAGATCGTAGGGATTGCGGTGGAGAACTATCTAAAATTTTCCAGCGAAACTTTAACTCGCCACGAGAATAATTCATTATAATCCCCCGATCCTGTCGATCCCCCCCCCCCCCCCCCCACCGTTCAACCAGCTGAATTAGAAATGTTCGGTATGAAACTACGGTAGTTAAAAACGGGCTCGAACTCGGCCAGGAGTTGGCGAGCGTTAAGAGGCGAACTCGGCCAGACAGCCCCGCGGTCTGCTGATAATTATCATCGATCGAGTTACGAATCGGTCATATATACTTGCAAAAAGCTGTCTAGAGATACCCGAAAGATTACACGCACGCAACGGTGGAAAGTTTCGCGACGAACATAGTGAATAATTAACGTTCGAAAGGCGTGCGCTCGCGATGGATGAAGTTGCGGATTCCATTAAGCTGCCGAAGCAGGTGGGACAAGCGGGCGCCACTATGGACAGATAAATAAAATAGCGAAGATACGCGCGGTCGAGGGGGGGAAAATAAGAAACAGGTCGCTCCATCGTCAAAGTAACGCTTTAATATGGATGTGTGATTTCCCAGGTGGGCTGTTTCATCCGTCAGACGACAAGCAAGAAGTGGCCTTTCGTTATGCCGTGGAGAAGATCAACGCCAACCGGGATATCCTGCCCAAGTCCCGTCTCAGCGCCCAGATTGAGCAGATAAAACCGCAGGACAGTTTTCACGCTTCCAAGCGAGGTGAGTCCGCCTCTCCAAGTTGCCAATCTCCGACTAAACGTTTCCTTTCGCGAATGACACGGTTCGTCGATTTTGCGAACAAAAATTTGCGAGTTCGACGGGGGTAAACGAGTCTGTGATTAATCTGATCGCGTTGTAGTCGTCCTCGTAGGATGACAACTTTAGTAAGTTAATAACGATAATAGAATACTATCCATGGGACAATGAATATTTAAACAGATCGTTTGAAAGAAATTTGCACGTTTAAATTTATCGATATTATTTAAATAATTTTTTTTAATTTATCGATATTATATGGTGTGTTGAAATATACAGTGTTGACTGATCGGTTCGGACTGCGAGCAAATCAGACGATAAACACTTTCGCGAAGAACTTTTCTATTCAATGAACAAACATCTCACACTGCGACGTTGTGTGTAAGATTCGTAGAGTTGTATTTTACTTTTTATCTATGAACTTACTTTATCTATGAACAATGCGGGTAGCGAATTATATGGATCACGTTCGTTATATAACCGATCACCCACTGTACAGACGTGAAGATTCCCTAAATGAAAATCGGAGCTAACGAAGATATCGAGAATCAAGGGCTCTTTTTAATCTGGAGCCGATCCACCCAATCTTTCTCAGGTTCGCGATCAAAATTCTCCGATTCTCAGCCGAGTACCTCTCGCGTTAGTCGAGTATCAACGATCTGCTCGATGAACCGAGGGGGAGGAAATGAGTGAACTGGCGGGGCGATCGTTAACTAGAACGAAACTGGAGGACCGGAGGTTTCGTTATCATCGTTAGTCAAATATACGCGAGTTAAATAGCAGCGCCGAGTTCTCGGCTCTACTTTGATCCTTCGATGGTAGTTGACGTTTAATCAGGTAACGCGGTAATTACCTCCTTAATGGGTAGCTTCTTGCGCGGCATTCTCCAACACTGTCGGCTAATTGAATTCCTGCCCTCTTCCCATCGAACTTTCGCGGAGGAAGAATTATCGCGAACGCTCTGTCACGCGTGTCTCCGTAAACTCGACTCGCTTCTCCGTTCACTGGCGTGCGAAGCCAGTCGAAATTATCCGCGACGCAGCAGCCACTTTCGACGACTTTCGAGATAATACAACTTCCATTGAATTTCCTCGCGGCCGCTAGCCAGCCCGTTTCGTTACCCAGCTACTTCCGCACCGCGCCAACTATCTTCCAAAGTTCACGCCCCGCTCTGACATGTAAAATAGAGTCGCATTTCCGCGCGCCTGACTTCGCGTCTGACTTCTCGTCAATGTTGCGCGTATCCCGACGTAAGGAAACTTTCTTAACAACATTATCCTTTTGCACGTTGTTCTCTCGCCGGTTGATACTCGCCGCTCGTTCCCTCTGTTTTTGTTGCCGTTCTCCGTCCATTTCTTCGCGTCTGGAAAATTAGAAACTTTCCGAACGTTTCAGGTAATTTCAACCTCTCAACTTTTTACTTCGCGCGTAAAATTCCGTACAACCAAGTGTATTAAATTGAGATGTATAAAGAAAACAGAATACTACTGATGGAGCAGAGAGGAAATCTCTCGACAGCTGAATATCTTTCGACGAAAAAGGGGGAGAAGAATTTCGTCTCCGTAAACCGGTACGGTATCTGTCGATTCCCATCGATCGAACAACAGCGACTAATTGAAACCAAATATCGTTAATTTCCTCTCTGGTGTTAATTATCCGGGACGCAGATCAGCTCGAGGCAATCGCGAAACGAACGTAATTATACGATCGAATGACTTAGGAATAATTGTTGCCGAAGTGATGGGTGAAAACTCGCTGGAAACATTGGCTGATTATTAATGCGTATGCAGAATAACACCGCGGGACGCGCGTAATTATTTTCGCGCTGCACGATCCGCCAAATTATCGCGTTAAGCCCCCCGATTTATTAAGCCGAATTATTAGCTTTAAATGCACATAGATTACCCGGTGACCGTTGGCAACGCGCAAACAGGGGCAAGTCACGCGTACGCGTGTGTTGCATCGGATGCGATGGATCGGAATTTTGGCGTGGTTCCACCACCGGTCCACCGATCGTAAGGGCAAATCTCAGTGACAAATCTCCGTTTGCCGGTGACACGAGTTCGCCGTCTGGAAAAACAAGACGTGTATAAGGGATGCAAATGAGTAAACTGACTTAATATACGGCGACGTGTTCTTGCCACGGAGAATGATGCGTCATGCTGTCGTCATCAAGAAATTATTTCTCTTTCTACGTTAGGTCAATTAGGATTTATATTGAGAATTTTATGTTTTTGAAATGAATTAACATTTTCACATTTATTTGTCTATGCTTTTTTATTTAAATCTATGACACTTATGTGTGTTGGTAGATTTATATAAATGGTGTTCAAAATTTTCATTTTTATAAAGAAATGCGTTATATTTATCCTATAAAGGGAATAATTGTTTTATTTTCTTTAAGAATATTTTGTGAATTTCCTTTTTTTTATTTGGTTTCTATTCGAAAGATTTAACAATTTTAAAAATTTTATTTTTTTAGAGAAGTAAGAATTTTTTATTTAATTATATTGTTATTTAGAACAAAATTGACTATAGCTTATTCAATTCGAATTATAAGTAATTTATTAAATAATAGATTAATATTAAATTTAATTTTTATAGGAGATAAATTAATAAATTTTTGTATAATATTTATAATAATAACAATATTATTATTAAGAAAAATTAATCATAATTTTTAATTTAAATTTATTAAAAATTTATAAATGCTTTGTTATTAAAACATTTATTTTACGTTTTATTTTTAATTGAATTTTATTAAATATTAATTTAAAAATAATTTCATTTAACCGGAAAGACAAACGTGTGTTTTTTCGCGGGGGTGGTTTTATCAGAATCTTTTTATACATTTGAGATTCTCGGAAATTTTCTCTGTCAAAATTTTCGACCCAAAACACGTACATTGTACATAATTTCAGCCTTTAATACACATTGAACAATCTTATGAATGAACGTTAAATTCTCTCCAACAAATCGTTATCGTATCGTATTTCACGAATAAAAATAGATAGAATTGAAAAGAAATAAGCGAACATTGTTCAAAATCCCGTTAGGAATTTCAGACACGATAAAAGCAATTCTCCTTTCGTATACCAAATGCTTTTATTACAACAATTTCGATATTCCAATCCGCGAGATGTTTCAATCTTTTCAGATACAAAAGATGAAAGAGGAGACGGCCCGATGGAGTGACGGCAATATAACATTCTATGAATGACAAATTTCCATTCACACGTGTATAATGTAGAACTGAGTTAACTTGTTTGGATATGGCACATAGTAGAACGAACGCGAACTAACCCTATCAAGATCTTATTAAACCCTGTCACGTAACCCGAGCAGATCCAATTTATTAGATTTAATAGATATGCGTTCGAGCTGTCGTCGATACATACTGTTCGCTTTATTTCACGTGCTCGTTACTAGCTTCCATTTTTTTCTTTTTTTTTTTTTTTTTGTTTCACCATCAAGCTATTTCGTCACGTAGACGCTACAAAGATAGAGATCTCGAATTTTCTTCCGCTCTTGAACGTATCTCATAAAAATCTTGTCAACAACGTTGATACAATCGGACAGATCTTTCGTTTCCACGGAAGATTTTCAAAAAAAAAATCGAAGACCGAGTCGATTCGTTTCGACGAGGATATACCTACCCCATGGATCAAAAGATTTACGAATTCGTTTGGTTCGGTTGTTCGAATTCGACGTGGTTCGATCCGGCGACGAAACTCCTTTTCGTTCCTCGACGAGAAGAAAACACGGATGGTCGCTCGGATGTTCGTCTCTTTACTGCTCGAGTTTTTACGATATGACGAAGAAACACGGGCGAATTCGTCGGCGCCTTTGTTCCAACCTGTGCGCCCTCCTATCGCGGATCCACGTAATACAGTTTTATGGTGCCGGTCGCTTCTATCCCCGGAATTTCTCCGAGATGCTCGTTGGTTTTCCCATCGAAAAACCAGCGGCGACCGGTAACGGGGACACACGGGTTCGATTATTCGCGTCCAGGCTCGTGTCTGATCGTGATACATAATGCAATAACGCGTGAATGCCAGCGAAACGTTGGCAAAAACGAAGCTGTTGAATATCGACGACAATGGAATATTTCATTTTCCGTCGAGACGGATTTTTCTGGATCGGTTGCGTGGTCGTAATTAATTCTAGCGTGTCAGTAGACACGAAATGAAGAGTGAACCTCGAGTAGTCTTGAAAATATAGCAAAAATATTCTGTCTTCGACAATCGCTGAAACATCGATTTTTGAAAAACTTGCGATTCTTCTAGAATATTCTGGAAAATAATTGACTTGGAGTTATATTTGGTTATTTAGGAAGCGTTCTTCTCGGAATGAAATTGTCGAAATTGGCGTTGGAGAGATGTCTGAGTAAAAATTTGTCAACAAAGGCTGTTATCTAGCAGTTGACAAAGTATCTTTTTTTCATTAAAATTCATCAACTTGACTTCGCAGAAAGTTTTGAAAAACCTCGTTCTAAATCCCACGTCGTCGCTAATGACCTCGTAGTCGACGCGATACCATAGAAGAAAAAAAAAAAAAAAGAAAAGAAAAGCAAATATTGTACGTATTGTTTGAAAATAATAAATAATAAGAATTTCATCTCCGAGAAGATGTGCTTGTTCTTGCAACTGCTTCGAAATTTCAAATTCGCCGTGACGAAGCAACCAGCGAAACAGAGTGATCGGAAAGATTTATTTAGCTGGAGCGGTTGAGGCAGTTGTTCGGCCAATTTTCCAAAACCGTTCCGCACGGAGAGACGGAAAGTTGGCAACGGTGAGAAACAACGAGCTGGTGTCGCGTCTCTAATTTCACCGTAACTTTTTAAGGTTCCTTTCCCTCGCCAAGTTCGGACCGTTCGGTAAGTCGACGTCGCTCACGGCGATTTCGTTTAGCACGGTGTGCTCTTTCCCACCGGTTCTCTAACTGCGCGCCGTCCAATTAAGCAC